TATATATATAGTTTACAGTCTCCGTCAGCATCCGTATCCACCGTTACACAATTTTGCTTTGTAAAACGTGTTCATAATAAAAAGAATGCACATGCGTTCACAGAGTGTACATTGAAACGGAACGTTTACTTTTTTATCGGCAGAGTCGAGAGATTGGAACTGACGACGTAGTAGTGCATGCCGAAGAGTACACATTGTACATGTATACGTATATTACGTTACACGTACGAATACGAAGTCGATGGCGCGATGGCTGCATAACGTCGTGGTTGCTGCGTGATCTTTAGTGATCCCCCGTTGATTTCCTTATTTTTATTTGCCCTTTAGTTGATTTAAAAATGCTGTAGGCTCTCGTTTCGTCCCTCGAGGTCGTGGAGTGTCGGTGCAGCGTCATTCTCCCGTAACAAAGTATGATGAACGCGAAAGTGAAAGCGAGGTAATCGATGCTTCACACGTTCCAAAGATCTCGAGTCGATGGTACTTGTTGCTTCTGTCCACTCGAGACCGATTTGACGGTCGTCCTTCCTTTCCGACGGCATCCCGGTGTGACTGCGCGGGTGATCGATAGACGAGTGTCGTCATTAATTGCTGCTCGTTCGTTGTTCCTTTGTGAGATTAGGCATGATAAATTCATGTTTAACTCGGGAGAGTATTGATCTCTGTTCCCCACTCTGGGTACAGGCAGAGGCACTACTCGTTGATGAACTTGTCGTGCACGTGGGGTCGGGGTCGAACACGTCTCTACGCTGTTTTAACGTGACGCGTATACTACGGCTTCCTATTTTCAAGATCGTATCTTCCAATTCGTCGGACGTCTCTCGACGATTCTATGATCACGTACCCTTTGTTTTATTTTTAGGCAGTACTTGGACCGATTCGGGGATCAAGGGGGATATTTCGACGTCGTGGTACGTCCGATGTTGCAACAGGGACACGAAGGAGAATTATGCGGATGGCTGAAGGAAATGAGTTTGATCAGAACCGTCTCCACCTGCCCGTACCCGGAATGCAAGGGAAGGAGCCTGGCTTGGAATCAAGCGAGAATCGTAGACAAATACAGCTGGTCTTGTCCAAATTGTTCGAGGAAACAGTCGATCAGGGAGAATTCCTTTTTCATCGGAGTTAAATGTGACCTGAAAACGTGCCTTCAACTGATACTAGGATGGTGTAAAATGATACCCAGCGAACTTACTGCCAATTACTTAGGTATTGTCAGCTATCGGAATCGTGTACGACGACGGTAGATCGATGCATCGTGTATGTTCGTTTTTTCTAGACATAAAGAAACACGTAGTGAATAAAATATACGAGAGGTGCGACGAGGTCTCGGAGAGCTATGTATCGAGCCATCCGGAGGACTGGGTTCTAGGAGGTAAAAGTGCAATATTGATCGTCGACGAGTTTCCTAACGGATACATGACTAAGAATCCTTCTGACACGAGTAACGCTAAGAAGCGCAACAATAACTCCAACACGATAGTCTGCATAGCCGAAGCGAACACGATGCCGACTAGAATGTGGCTTCACATGATCGAAGCATTCCCAGAGGTACGTTCGTTTCTGCCCCTCTCGACGGTCACAGTGTCTCGTTTTTAGTGATACCGTCTCTGGTTTCAGCCGTTGAAAATAGAGAAATCATCGTCGCAGGGAGACGTCGATAAAAGTAGCGTGGTCGAAGAAGCATTGAAAGAGATCGTGAGGCACAGTGCTCCTGGTAGTTACATCGTGGCAAATAGCCGAGCTCGCTGTTGCAGCTTTGAGTTGTTGCGAGAACTGAAGCAGTACACGGTGGTCAGTGTCGAGCAATTGCAGAAGTTTGATCCACCAGGGAGGAGTAAACTGCTGAATAATCTAGGTACGTTTACTAACGCGCTTCGCCGACGAGTCCTATCGACCATCAGTCTCTCATCGATAAATCTGTTTTGTGTGTTAAGAAACGATTTGGCAAGCGGGCGTCGAGATCTGTGACGAGATTCAAGAAGCTACTCAAAACCTGGGACAGCGGATAATATCGAAACACTTGTGGAGGCAGAGATTCGGTACGTCACCATCCACAGCATTTCAATACATGCTTAATCACATCGCAGAACGTTACCGCTTCGTCTAAACTCCCGTCCCGTGGGTATTTCTCTTTTGTTCGTTTCTTTTGCTAATTTTAACGACGAATCTGTCGTCTTAAGGAGCAATAATACCGAATGCCAGCGAGCAATCGTCCTCTTCGGCGAAAGTAATTATTTTGTGAACGAATAACGCTCTGGAACGAATTAACGTCGATTCGAAGCCGAATCGAATATTGTACGAGTCGCACTAATGGCCTTACTAAAATTAGAGAAGCCTTACAATGTATATTGTATGTACATACGTACCTATAGAACGTATCTCCGTGAAACGATACAAGGATTTAATGCGTTTCACCGAAACACGCACTTCGTGTCTTCCAAACGTCGAAATATTAAACTTATCATTTTTAAACTCAAATGTTTACGATGATCGTTGATTAGTTAGCGTTGAAGCATCGCGTAGGATATAAAATATCTCTCGAACACCGTTGAAGCGTACTCGATACGTACTGTGCAACTTTTCTATGAATGTCGTTTTCGTCGAATCAGACGATCGAAAGACTGACGGCGCTACCATTTTTTCATTATACTCAAAAGTTGATGACAGTATCTTGCCCCGTTTGGACATCAAGTTATCGTTATGCATCACCTCGTGGTCAGACCGATTCTGTGATACAGAACCGTTAGTTTTACTCGTTCCTTGGGTCGTGTGAACCAGGAGGGGACAGACAGATATCCTGGTCGTATAAAATTTGATAAAACGGTTTTCGCGAACACAATGTGATAATTATGTTACTTCGCGTGGTAAAACAAATGATATATTAGAGTTGAGCAGATGACACGAATCACTAACGATAAGTTAAATGAGTCGATCGAATTTAACGCGGTTAAGACCTTTTTATTCTTATGTAGTTCGTAGTATCTTATTTTATAATTTATAAACTTACACAATGATATTAAGGAATACGAGCGTTTGTGACAGAGTGTGTGTGACTGAAACGAAAGGAGAATTCAATATTTTTGTAACGATTCATCGATCATACAGCAATATTGTTATAATTATACGTGTTTTGTACCAGATTGTAATAAAAAGTTTCGACGCATTATGTAAGTTAAGATCAGTTCGTGATCCGTGGTACAGGAGGATAATTCAATGAAAACGTTCTATGAACCCTTTTATTAGTAACGAGTAAAGACGAGAGATAAAGTGCGTAACAAAAATATGTCTCGCTATAATCCTATTCACGAAGTATCGTTTTAATCGTAAAAGAAAGATCGTGTTGCCTGCGAACGGTTGTCGTAGGCGATCTAAAGACCTAACTATGAGATTCTGCGTGGAAATTTGGTGCACCTGGTATTACTATCCTTACCACGGTGTCAGCGATAACGTAAATTCGTACACCCAGTCACGCGAACTCCTCGTTCATGATTTCCTTGTACTCTTTCTGATCTCGTACCATCTTACGATAAACCCGATACTTTTGAAGGTGATACCTTGAAAGTAAAGAGAAAGCGATAATACAGCAGCTGAAAACGGTTCTCCGATCTTTTCGAGACCGATCCACTTACTTGTAGCACTCGTTTTTGGGTTTGACGATGTTCGCAGAACCGCCCATCGTTTCGATAGCATCGTACATCGTACCGAATCTGCCAGCTGCGTAAGATCCGAGGATCGCAGCACCTATCAATACCGATTCCTTTTCGACTGGACATAGGACAGGCAGACCTAACACGTCCGCCTGGATTTGAATGAACAATGGGTTCTGACTGAGGCCACCGCAAACTAACAAAGTTTCCACTCTGTGACCGGCCGCTTCTAGCGTCTCCAAAATATATTTCGTACCGTACTGTTGAAAAATGCAAATTATCTTTCTGTGGCGTCTGAACACGTCGACACAGTATTACGTGTGCACGCGTACCGTTAACGCTTGCACCGTTGCCAAGTACAACAATGCCAGATCCTCTTGGCCGACGGACAACGAGAGTCCCGATATCTACGTGACGCGTAAGAGAAAAATTTCAGATGATTCGCTCGATTAACGCCTAAGAGCAATGACGCGTTTATTACCATTCCTTTGATACTCGGATCAGCCAAGGGAGAACGATTACCGTGGAAGTCTGGCCATACGTGAAGATCTCTCGTCAAGTACGAAACGTTTTTCAGGCTCCTCTCGTCGGCCATGGTTTGCAACAGTTCGGACAAATGCTGCTGTATGTGTCTAGAACGATACCAATTCATGAGAAACATTAACGGTGTCCGATTCGGGCAAAGCGCCGAGTATCGACGCGTACTTGTTTCGGGTCAAACTTTTCAAAATTCCTGGTGTCGCGGGATGAGTGTCGATTATGTGGTCGAGTAACTTCCCGGTGGCGCTTTGCCCGCCTTCGCTCAGCCACAATCCTGGAACCATGGCACTGAAATACGGTCCCCAAACCCCGCTGACGAAATGTTTCTTCTCGTTGACTATCATGTGACATGTCGAGGTGCCGCAGATCAATGCTGCAAGATGATACGAAACGCTTTGAAATTAACGGCAAGCATCGTTTATACACAACGGGGACAGTCATGGATACCTAATCTACTCTGCAACTCGTTGGACACGCCAGGCACAGAACATCCTATCATACCGAGTCCACCGGCGTGTGCATCGATGAGAGAAGTGCCTACCGCTGTTTGCTCCAGAAGGCCTAATTCAGACGCAGCTTTTCCTGATAATCCTTGACCGACAGGATCGCCGGGGCTCCTGACATCACTACCTTCGTATCAATGTTTCTTTTCGTTAAAACGAGCCGACACCTAAATATTATCCGTCTGAACACTAAAGGGACGCGTCGACTCGAAACTCATATCGTCGATCACGCGAGCAAACCGATTATCGAAGTTTACCTATACACCCGACATAATTTTCATTATATTTTCGTGGAATCACAGTCTATACCTATTTTCCGCCAATTATCTTTCTTCAGATCATTCAAGTGAATTTGTTCGAAGAATTCCTCGCTCCATTTGTTATTACCATCTGGAGAAGCGCTGTAATTCCACTTACACACCAACGAGCATAGGGATCTGAAATCAGGTCGGAAAGCTCAGTACGTTACCGGAACGGTAACGTGTCTTTGCGTTTGTGATACGCGATGGTATCGTTACCTCGACTCGGAACCCGTAGCTTTCCACGTTAAGAAATCAGGCAGATCGAACAGAAGTGCCGCACGATTCCAGGACGATGGTAGATGCCTTTTCAGCCATAACATTTTCGGAGTTTCCATCTCGAGCGATACTTTTCCACCTACGTACCGAAGCATGTCGTGTCCTCGCGCGTTTATCAAGTCAGCTTCCTCCTGTGCCCTGTGATCCATCCATAATATAACGTTCTGCTTGTCTTTGCCTACGACGCAAGCAGAAAATGTACACATCGATCCTTCTGAGAGCAGTTTGAGGGATGATATAAACGCGATTCGTGGAAGTATACCCGTCGGACTGACTGTGACCGGCGATCCTGTCTTATCCACTGCTACCAGTGAACAAGTAGCATCGAATCCAATACCCTTTATGTTGTCTGGAGAGGTATCGGCCACGACTGACTGTGCATAAAAATTTATTGTAGAATGAAAAGTGGTCGTCGAGCGAAATTGCTGATACCTTTACTACATGGCAGACCGCGCTCCAAATGTTTTCGGACGATTGTTCGTAGAAGTTGGGAGCGGGATGAAAAATCTCAAGGGGGCACGTTGCCATTTTTATTATCTTCCCTGTGGAAGATACTAAAGCAGCTCGAGCACTTCCTGTTCCTACGTCGACTCCCACGAAGTAATCCATCTCTCTGATCCTTCGAGCAGGTCTGCAACTTTTCTGCCTTTCGCTAAGAGAATCCAACTGAACGTTTCGTTCCGACCAGAGCCATTACGAGCTGCAAATAAGAATAAATTATCGAAATCATTATCAGCTAGGCTTAGTCGTAATCATAGTCTTGTTTTTAATCTCTCGTGACCCTGAGATAACTCCGGACTCACTTGCTACATGGCTAGTTCGATTCTGTTTCATTGAAGAGAAAAAGAATCGGAGGAAAAATTGTTATCTTTAGTTTTGAACAGACTCGTGTTCAAAGTTTTTGCAATATGTAACGTAAACGTGACAGAAATCTTAGATCTAGGCGAGAACGTTGAACGTGAAGTGCAATAACATTACGTAAGCAGGATGATACGATAGTTCCGTGCATGGAAACACGTGTGCATAAAAAATTCCAAGTTACCTTGAACAATTGTACTGATTTGCATGATATATTGTACGATCCCTTTGGAAATGTCACGTTAACTTCCATCGGAGCTCTCGATACACGGGTCGAAATATTAATTGTAGAAACGATGTTAACGTCGTCGTCGTCGTCGAGTAAGGAATACAAAATATAACGTTGTCGAAGAATGTTAACGAAAATACGATACGCATTGCACGCACGTGTACGAGTATGTTTGACAGCGACCTAGCAGAACGTTATACAATACATAACGCGCCGATCGTGTACGTATACAGTACACATGTATGTGTGTGTGTGTGTGTGTACGCACGCACGATCGAGAGCATTGAAAGTAGTGCACGTGGTGTCGATGATTCCGGATTTCACGGTTTCAGGCGGAGCGTACTACTCGACAGTGATATTCTACCGGGTAACGTAAAATTGCGAAGTCTGCCTGTAGAGAATTTGTACGTACGTGAGCAATGGTCAACGCATAGAACTTATTTGAACTTGAAAGCGTCGCATAACCTAAAACATGGTTCGCTTCAAGAACAGGTGATACAGCAATTTCTTATTCATTTTAAACGTTTGGCAATGCAGGCTTCGTGTCTTTCTCATCATTTTCGAGATGATGCGATACATCCGACTCATTGAAAATGTATTTGCAGATACATCGCGTTCGAAATAACTCTTGGTAACAAGTCTGAGAAGCCTTTTCCTCTGAAAACCACAACGTTACATTTTACTATTCAACGAAAAGTGGAACAGTTGTACGGGGAATTCGGCGATGCCGCGATAAAAGCTGGTTTTACCGGTAAGCAAAATTGGAAGATTGTGTGTGTACATCGCTGCGTTTTCAACTTTCATAGGACTCGCGCATAGTTTAAATTACCGGTTAAACTTTTCCAGCGAAATATTGCAACGCACACACGAGGATAGCACTGGTCAAAACCAGACACGGACCTCATACATTTTTACTAACCGCAATACCAGCCATAAACGATATCGCGGGACGTTTAGTGTCCGTAAAAATACTTTACGTGGGCGCTACGTTGAAACATTGTTTCCTTTTCATAAAAGTAAGCGACGCCGAACGTAATGTTTAGAGCAAAATTTTCATTCTGATCAAATTCGCAGAGATATCAGCATAAAAAATTGGAAGAAACATGGAACACTCTCAAAACCGAGACGGAGCGAAGAAACATGGAGAACGCTTTAATGACGTTAACGCCGGCCATGAAAGATTTTGCGTAGAAGGTTCTGCTTTAACGAATCGAATAGTTTTAAGGTAACGTATCATGTTGATAAACTGAGCACGACTGCTGTAAACGGTGTTTCACGATATTGATAAGTTTTTCGATATTAATCGTAAATTATTTCGTTCGTTGAAACTCTCCCCCCTCAAATTCCTTCGCGTATCCTTCGCTCAGGATTAGGCATTTTATTTCAAATAAGATGATAAACGATCGATTGAAAATGAATATCTGCACACTTTTCCTTCCACTCGATGTTTCGTGCACGTCAGAGTGATTAGAGGTAATGGAAAGAAAGGGCGAACTTGAAATCTTTTTAAGCTATGATGAAATGAACAAAATTGATCGTTCGATGACTCGGCGATCCGGCACAGATCTTAGAATTCGTCGCATTACAATTTTATCACTCCTTCGCTCGTCGAGAGTCGAGAGCGGCGTAAATTTGAATTTTTATGCGGGAACCATTTTCCGCGTCACCGCCCACGTGACAATCGACAGTCGACCATTTGCTTTTTGCGCTCATGTATATACGATCGTCGTCGTCGTCGTCGTCGCTGTATCGCAGTGTCAGACGCTAAGCATTTTCTACGTATTTCGGCATACCGGCCTTCGATTTAATCTTCGAAACCTTGTAATCCGATTACCAGTTTAGACGCTTGAACAACAGAGACGCGTTTGTTTGTTCGATCACTTGTTGAATGTTTCCGGGATACGTTGCTTTTCGCGTTCAAATCACTGAATATCTGTGTAAGAATAAATCATAATGTTCCTTTATTCTTGACCGTTACAGTTCTCATCTTTATTCTTCTTCTTCTTCTTCTTCTTCTTCTTCTTCTTGGATGACCGGCCAGTGGCTGGTTCGTGGTGTTCGTCGACATTGCGCATGAGTCAAAAATCCCGCGATGTGCTCATCATCGTTGCCTTTGGTCGCCAGTTGTCGCTGCTTCAGCGTCCGTCAGTCCGTCTACGGTTGCTGTTCTACCGGCAGCGTAATTGACGGTGTGACTACTTACACCTACGCCATACGAGATACGCAGAGACACGAGAGTCAACCGAGACGAACAACCCGAACAACAGAGGAACAGGAACAGAGCGGTTGCAGTTGGCGTGTGGCAGGCAGTCGGTGCGCGAAAGTGTTCACGAAGCAGTGCAATTAGTTGTGGTCAGTTGTGGCGTAGACCGAGTACGTACTTCAAGATGCTGTAGTCTCTGGCGCAAAGGTACATACCAATTTCTTACGAAGGAAAACCGAATTCGCACGCGCGTCGTGTTCTTCGAAAATTGTTCAGCTCTATTCGCGAGATAATCGCGAGACAGGAGATCAACCGGCGACCGATTCACCGCGTCGATTCATAAATAAATGTGCTACGCATCGAAACCGACGAGGAACCATCCGCAGGGACGTCGCAGCGGCCCGTTTCATCTCCCGGCGAGGATCTAACGTTTCCTGTACTCGAGGTAAGAGACGTACAGAACCTTCTTGTACAGACTATCGATTTCACTTCCGTGCCGTTCCGTTCAAGGGGATACGCAAGGAATCCATCAGATTCCTATTGTCCTCCATCTGTTTAAGTTTGAACCGATCATCGGATCCGTCTCGTCAGAGAACGTCCCTCCGTGGACCGTTTGAATGAACGATCGATTTGCAGAGTCAGTGGTGTCGCACCCTCTGTGGACAGATTCTGTCTTTTCTAAATGAAACGAGCCATGGGGGAAAACTTATTGTCTCGATCCCGATTATCGGGCAGACAGAGGTGTGCCATCTGCGAGTACGTGAGTACACGTTGGTATCGATGAAAGATGTCCTGTCGGGATTACACTGTACGCTCGATCGGGTACTCGGAACTCATACGGGAAGGACGAATCGATCGGCGAACCAGACGGTCAGAAGCAATCGAAACGCACAACGTCCAGCTGTACCCAGCTAGCTGCCCCCTTGATTCTCGGCAACGACGTTCATATGAGAATCGTTTACGAGCGTTGCGCAGGCCTTTTGGCCTGCTGTGTGCGAACAGATGTCGTTCCCGCTCTTACGTAAACTTAGTCGATCGGGACCGAGACCGTTTTTCATCCCTCTTGGTCGGAAATAATAGCCGCGTCTCTCGAATTTATTTCTCGCGGTCCTCGAGCCGTGCGTGTCTCTCGCTCGTCCCCGCGAATGGCTGGTGACCAACGATGCTCGTTGTCTCTTCGAATTTTCAGGCCACTCGAATTACGCGTGTATTACGCATACACTTGTATCGCGTGATTCAGGATTTATAATGGTAGATAATTTTTACCAAAGAGAACGTTCGAATGAAAATGGAAAACGCAATCGCCAGCGAGCACGAGCGTGGATGTAATCCTGTGGTATTCGCGGTCGGAGTTATTCGTTAAGTTTACATAGTAGGACGGATAGGTCCACTGGTAAGGGTAGATAAGCTTTGTGTAATCATCAGCGATAGAGTTCTCCTCTGGAACGACTCGATGTGATGATCCTACTCGGTGCTGTTCGTTTGAACGTTGGAAAAACGTGTTCCTGTTTTAATTTTTGATTCTAAACCTTTTTCAACGAACGGTGGCAAACCCATTACGTAAACATCGCGGAACCTTTCGCACTTGGTTGCGAGGTAGGGTACAAGGATGACCATTGTGCAATCTTCATGAAAGTTATTTGCGGATTGTATCGTTAAATAATAAGACGTACGGCGTATACCTTCGTTCCAGTGGACCGTTTCGAACCGCGTGAACGTTAATGATTCCGCTGTACCTCTCGCGAAGGAAATGATTGTTGGCGGGAGTGCGGGCGAGAGTGATCTTGATCGTCGAATACCCCGAGATCTTTCTCCCCTCAGTGCTCGTGCACTATGCAAAATACTTTCCGCCTGTTCTGTTCTCATTCCCATCGTCGCGTCGCGTCGGTGAAAGCGTACGAAACAACGTTGAACGCGGGTATGGAAACATTTCCAAAAAAAGGTAAATATGTCGCGGTCTTCTCCGTTGTGAACTGTGCGAACATCGCGTTTAAGGATGTATTGGCTATACAGTTTAGAAAAACGCATTTCCTATAATTAAAAAGAAATCAGACGTCGGAAGAACAATGCTAATAATAAATAGCTACGTGCTAAAAAGTATAAAAGCAAATATCCAATTAATTATCGACGCTGGCTTTTTATACAGAAGTTGTAGGCACTGACGTCCTCTACAAGCATTTCATTGTCATATCTCTTGTCCTCAATTCTATGCATTTCTCTTCTAATTTCAGTATTTAACGAGTTAAGTATGATTATATGACATTTTATTGATGTTGACAAAATCCGACCATTCCAGCGTCGAAACGGCGAACTTTTGGCAAAAAATTTCGTTTTTTGCCCATAACTCCTAAACCCTTGGAGATACGGGAAAATTGCATAGGACCTTTCTTGTAGAGCACGACGAGATCTACAATTTCTGTATAAAAACTTTTCGCTAGCATTAATAGTTTACGAGTTATTTGCAAAAAACTAGAAAACAGTTTTTTGCAAATTACTCGGTAACTATCGAAGCT